CTAGGTAAAAAGCATTTAGTAGTAGTCAGATTGCTGATCGGTAATTTAAGTGTATTTATTTTTTAATTTATATTGGCTTTTGGTATCACTTCCCTGGATCTTGAACTGCAGTATTGTACGAATGGATCTTCTGAATCAATAAACTGACGGTAACAGATCAATTAAACTTCATAGTTGATATACCAGTCCTTGCTTCTGTGGTGAATATCTGATTTATTTTCCTTGCATTTCACAGAAAGGTAGTTCTCCTAATGTTTCATTGTTTTCTGACAGTAATAGGACCAAAACCTACAGTGTTTGCTCCTGTGACCTTGGGACAGTTTACTTTCGGCTGCTGTGACCTTCATTTTTGGTAGATGTAACTTACCTGTATGTGAGACTTGCTGCAGTTTTGTTTGGAGAAATCTGCTGTTGCCATAATTAAGGTATTTGCCTACTTTGCACATTCCAGATTTCTGCCACAGGGTCCCCCCAGCAGAGTAATATAACTAAGCCAAAATAATGTATTTTGTCTGGAATTTAAAATTAGCATTTCTCAGGTTCTGCAGGTGTGACCCAGTAAGAAATGACAGCGTTCCCTTGGGAAGAGGAGCAAACCCGTGCTACGGATGCTGCCTCTGTTCTTACTTCCCCTGCTGACTTCAGTCCCCCACGCTGCTGCTATTTCAGGGGTATCTGCTGGGCTGCTGCTGTTTCACAGCCTGTTCTGAAGCCGTGGCAGGGTTGTGGCTGAACAAGCTCTGCCCTGTGGAACTCCAAGGGGAGTGTGTCACCCTTCGTATAGCGCTGCAGAGGTCCCAGAACCAAAGCTTTTTTAGGAGTTGTCCATGAAAGCTCCTCAGCTTTGCAGTCTCTTGCCCAGAATCTGAAGTTGCTCACGTTTGCTCAGGTTTTAACTGCCTAGTCAGTGTGAGTGAGCACTTCAGGAAAAAATCCACCAGTTCCTGGTGGATCACGGTCTTGTGAGCTTGTCATAGCCTTTTTGAAGGGATTCTGCTGGTCTGTTAATTGGTGCTGGTTTAGGAGCACAGAGTTGGTGTGTTTTGCTGATGGCAACTGTGTCAAATGTTTGGAATAATTTCTAAGATGGATTGAAAAGAGAATCGTGTTGTGTCTCGACTGCAATCACATGAAAAAGAAGTAAGTCAACTTCTGCAAAATTGACTTAGTCTACAGAAAACAGGAGGAGAAATGGACCCTACAAGGAAAACCACTAACAGGAAAATCTCTACTAAGGTTTAAGTACCCAGTGACATCAGTAATGTTAGCTGTTGGCCCTTGCCTTTGGCAAATCCCTTCACTTCTTCTTAGTTTCCTAATCTATCAGTGGAGATAATACTGTTCTTTAGGTGGATTCTCCATCTAAAGGTAGTAGGTATGGAAGAATTATGGGGAGTGAGAACTATGGGACTCTGTTTTATAGGGATTCAAATTTATTCCAGATGCTGGGAGAACTCTTGTTTTACCATCACAGATGCTACAGAGTCATGACAGAATGTGTTTCTGTCCTCAAGAACACACAGTTTAGCTTGCTTAGAAATGCTCCCTCCTATTGCCAAGTAGTATTTTGTCACTGGACTGAAATTTAGCTCCTTATTCCTCTGTATGTAGCTCTTTGGCCTTTTACTGGGCCAGGGTTGCTGTGTTTCGTACTGTTTCTTACTGGGTTTTGCTTTGTCTTTTGTTTTTTTTTTTACATTCACGATGGCATCTATTTTCATTTCTCACTTGAGAGAAAAAAGGTTTCTGTCTGTGCCTTTGAATATGTTGTTTCCTTTCTGCTGTAGCTGCATCTGTAAAAACTGTAGAATGCCAGAGATGAACCTTATTGACCAAAATCAGTTGTCAGATGAAAATATTAGAAAGAGTAAGATATTTACCAGTAACCACCATTCAAAAACTGTGGAATCTGAATTCCCAAGGCTCCCAAGGTCTGTGGCATGGTCCCTCACACCTCTGAGACAGCCATGGCTCTGGGCCTTCCAGGAGTGCAGGCCAACAGATGTGGATGCAGGACAGTTCTGCCAGTGCCTGAATCTAAGCAATAGCATAAGTTCATCTCTGGTCTCAAGCTTTAGGGAGAAACCAAGGATGAGTCCAGAGGCATCTTCTTTGGGAAGATGACTGTGGGAGTAGCCCTGACCTATCTGTTATGATTTGGATTTTACACATCTCCTTGGCAGCAACACTAAGAACCAAGAAAGCTGTTTCCAAGAAGGGCAGTCATAAATCATTTGCTGGTGATACAAAAATCCTCTCATCGGGTACATTGTGAGCCCTTGATCTAATTGTGTTGCCCAGAGGCGTCTGCTGACTCAAGATCTCTACTGTTCACCTCCCGTGAACCTGAGGACAGCAGAAAACACTGGAAAGGTTCCTCTGTAAGCAGTCAGGCAATTATGGGTATTTTAGCCTACCTGGACCTGAGGGAAGTGATCTTGAATCTCATTCAGAGAAACGGGGGAGTTACTTCCTTATTCATATAAAGAAAGCCTGTGGGAACCATGCCTACCTACTACTACCCCATGCTTTCTTCAGGAAAAATCTCCCATGCCTTTCCCAAGAGCTGCAGGGGTGAGTGCCAGTGTCCAGCTGGAGCTGGGAGCAGGGCCTGGTGACTCACCTGCCAGCCTGAAGACTGATGCCCTGAGAGAGGAGGGATCTCGCAGCCCCCCCATTGCTCCCTACAAAGCAGTGACGGCCTCTGTCACCACCGGCGTGATGAGGACGATGCTGGGCCTGCTTTAGTGCTCCTGGTTCCCGGGCCTGCCATGCTGAGCCAAACCTCTCCCAGGCTCAGGGCATGAGAGACAAAAACAGATCCTTCGGGCCTGCCCCGTGTATTTCTCAAGAGGGAGTGGTGAGAGGGAGGAAATAGGAAGATGTTGCACAAGGATCTGCTGAAATTAAATGCTGAGGAGACCTGACATGACACATCTGAGGGCCTTGTGAAATCCACACAACCTCCTTTTGCTTCTCTGGCCCTCTAAATACAATGTAATTCTTCCACCATATGGGAAAATAGGGGTCATCTTTTTTTTAATCTCTACTGTAGTGATACACTGTCACTAATACAAGGTTCTTGACTTCCAGAAATTGATGTCATTCATATTACATGCAGATAAGCTAAACTGAGTCAACTTCTTCCAAGTAATTACAATTTATAGTTTAAAAAAAATAAATAGCCAAAGCCTGTACTTCAAGGAAGGAGAAGGCTAAAACAGTTGTAGAGAGACTGCTCCAGAGAAGGGCAATCCAGCTGTCCTTCCAAACGCCATATGGATGTGAGTTCAGTGGGGGAGCCGCTCTGGCTGCAGCCAGTCGGCAGCTGAACCAGTGAGTCACTGTTACGCTTTCCCAAGTGCAGTCATGTTAAGGTGTTATTACTCAAACACCTTTTATTGAAAGCAAGTCATAATTTGGAATTAGTGACAGACAGATCAGTTCTGATTCATTCACAGAAACTTAACCATGGGAAAGGCTATCCGGGTGGCTGGATTGTCTCTAATGTTTGGAAAATTCCCGTTTGTCCATTCTCTGTTTATTGCCAGCCAGCTGCATTGGGATTTTAACCACTAGCACATTCCTTTACTTGCTAACAAAAATCCTTCAGAAAAACCTGCCATGAAAAGTAATCTGACCTGCATCTACCAACTATTGCCATGTTACTGCTCGGCCTTGCAGCTCTGCTTGGAGGGCAGTACATCTGTTACGTCTTACCTCACTCAGGCACAGTCACAGTCCTGTGAATTCCTTGTCTGCTACCACCTTCACCCTGTTTTGCAGTGACTGGAGCAGGAAAGCTCTTCAGCAGTGGTGAGGTCCCACCTGCACAAGCCTGTGGGTACAGCTCTGCACAAGTAGCCAGGCATAAAGCAACATTAGTGGCACATATTCACATAACCTGTTAGATGCTGTTAATCCCCGTGTCTGTTCCCTCTCTGGCTGGTTACAGTCTGTGCTCCAGAGCAGTTAACTCACAAGCTCTGTCTTAAATCACTGCAGCAGCGCAGAGTGTGCTGCTCCAACCACAGACACCTCTGAGGGGGACCTGGTGCTGTGCATGAGGTGTCAGCAGCCACTGGCTCACAGGCAGCCCTGTGCACTGCACTGCGTCACAAAGTGGGCAAAGTGGGATGGTGCTGCTGCCCCCTCCTCAGCCTGAACTGCCCTTCATAGGGCCTTGGAAAAAGACAGCAGTGAGTGGCATCACTCTCCTAACCACACCTTACAGCACAGCAGTTCTCAAGTGATGGCTTATGTTGGGTGGTTTTTTACTATCACCCATTTTACATTGCAAAGAATGGGACTGCGTTAGGCCTGCATTAAAAACATTCAATCTAAACTGGTGAAACTTCACCTCATGCCTTCACAAATACTGCTTTGCACAGCACCTGTGCAGATTTGGCAGCATACAGACCCATCAGTCCATCTAACAAGGGCAGCCTGAAGAGAAGCACTGAAGCAACTTCCTTCCCCCAAGAGTGGTGTCAGGGCTGGGAGAGCTGTCCCTCCCCTCCCAGGACTGTAACAGACACGTGTGGCTGAGATCAGACTCATCCGAGTGACCTGGGCACATGCACAGCAAACATTTTAGCTGAGACTGGAACCTGTCGTGTCCTGTGCTCCAGAGCTGCCAGAACAGCACCAGCCACTAAGAAGCTGCCCAGGTGTAGCACTCGTGTCCTCCAGCTGAACAGCGGCATGTCAGGTTTACTAAACCCTTTTAAACCATTCTGAAGTTCTGCCTGAGGAACAGCTCCCTCAGCCTTTAGACAAAAAGCCCAAAGGAACAAGTTTGATCTGTGCAAGAGAAAAACCAGAAATCCGCAAATTAATGTTCATCCTCACACAAACTTGGATTCTTGCAAGGCAACTAAGCTGACATTTCCACTGCTTTCTGTTTTAATTTGTGCTGCGCGTGGGGACTCGGCCCGGAGCCTGTGCTGCCCTGACACCCCGAATGCCGGGAGAAACAAACCGCATCCACATGCTAATCATCGGTTATGCATCAATCAGGATATCACTTTTATTAACTGGATTTTCCATTTCTGTTGCACACCATGAATGTTTATACAATGAAAAAGCCAAACATTGCTGGAAGCAATAAGATCAGATATTTCTGTACCCTCTTAACACACATACATGGATTCTTTCTTGGTGAGAAATTTTTATACTTCTGTTCATTAATGCTGCTTATTTAGACTGCTACTCTTAAAATTCTGTGTCAAGATTGTCACATCTTAAATACAGATTAAGTTGCTAGAGGTACATTACTTTTTTTTATATATATTTATATACACACATACAGAAAAATACAAGACTAACTGTTTTTTCCACAATATTTACTTTATACACTACTGTAACTATATGCAACTCTTAAAGACACGTTAAGGGGTACAAGAAACTGTTTACTTGCTCTAAATAGTTTGGTCCAATATTATCTTAATGTAGTGGTTATTCTCGCCCTTCCTTTTACGTGACGACATAACACGACGTACACCACATGCACAATCATTCACCTATCAACAAATGGGGAAAGGACACCACTCAGACTAACACATCTGTACACCCAGAGGTTCAACCAGCCACACACAACTATAAGGCTATAGTACAACTATGCAGCATAAATGGTCAACACTGCTGTTCTAAAGTGAGCACCATATATACAGTCGTATATAAAAACATTGGAAACAAAATACACCCGGGGTTAGTTAAAAGGTGCCATTCCAAGGCTGTACATAATATCAGGAAAGAGTATTTACAATACTTGGAAAAAAGCTGCAACAAATAAAGTTTATTGCCAATGCCCTTTATAAACTCGCCTCCTACGTGGATGTTACGCTCACTGTCTGTGAACCACACATCTCATTTCTGGCCCTTGGTAAGATCCCTGCTCAAAAATTTCAAGCAAATATGTTCTATGGCTTCACCCACACATCTACTTTTGTAGCTCTTTACTAAACTGCAACTAGAGTTCAAAAAACTTAAAGAAGCGAAACACTTATCCTTTGCCTTGTTCAGGAAGCAGAACCTCAGGAAGGACAGGCAGGCTCGCCAGGAAGGACACCCCACGCAACTCAGACTCTCCGAAGCCTTTCGGTAACGAAAAGAGCCGTGGTGAGCTGCACACATCCTGACCGAGCGCAAGCCCCGCTCTGATGCTCCGCTCCCTCCTTGGCGGACATGAAAGGCGCTGCATTTGACCCTTCTGCAAGTGTTACAAGATGCTCAACAGTGTCAAAACTCCTCTGGGATACCCAAGGTCTGCCCAGGGCGCTGCTACATAGTACCCCCAGTTTCACTAGCATTGCTTAGAAGACCCAGTGCACAGCATGAAAAAATAAAACATTCTTGCCCTTCCCAAAACTAGGAATCTGCAATATATTTTATTCTAGATAATAAAATTCCACAAAGTTAATTCATCTGGTCAAAAGTATCCTTTTGTACAGAAATACTCTAAATCAAGACCTTGCCATGGCAATGGGAAGCCCAACAGGAAGGCTGAGAGCTGTAAAAGAAACATTTTCCTACAGGCTATTTTAAATGGACTTTATGAAAAAGCACTATTACTGAGGAAAAATAAGTGACCTACATGTGGGGAACAGCAGTATTTTAAGCCTTAAAACAGTAATAATGACAAAAATGTAAATGACAATAACAATTTCAATGTGAATCCAATTACCTAATGGTTTTCCATCCCTTATTGCCTTCTGGAATCTCAGGGAGGGGAGGAGAGGACAGGGGAGAGGGTTTAAAAGGTAAAAACCTAAAATATCAGATGTCATGATATACTACTAACAAAAGTAATTCATACAAATACTTTATTTTCAGTTAGCATGTAAAAACTCAGAAGTAGACTTAATAATTTACCTTTGTTATATTAAAAAAGATTGTCTGCTTGTAATATTAACATATTTCTATGGGAGAAAGCTGCCTTACAGATCTACTTGCCTTTTTTTTTTTTTTCCAAAAGAAAACTGCTTCTAGCAAAACAAGATCTTTTCAGTTCGATTTTTGAGCCACAACTTTATCCGTATCATAGCTTAAGACAAATAGGTGTGGGTTTAAAATCATATTTCAAGATCACTAATTTTCAGTGCATCTTTGCTTTGCACAAGCCTTGGAACTTCTGAAAGCTCCCTGAAGAGTTTTCAGCATCAAAACATTATTGCTTTGGTTCTGTTTCAGACACATAGAAGTATGCCACGTATCACATATTTTAGTTATCACAGAAGGTCAGAACAAGAATTAACATTTCACAGGCAAACAAAAGCTTCTCTCTCTAGTTTAAGTGCAGAACATGAAACTTCTAAGTGCTTCATTTACATTAGGATCCAGATATTTATTTTAATTTAATCCAGATCTTACATAGTAAAATTATAAATGTAAAAATTACACAATAAAGTATTCTGCTTTGTTGAAAAAGAAAAACGTATTGGCTAGCAGCATGCAAAGACCATGCATTGTCATACCATCAAGCAAACACAAAATTAAAGTGTAATAAATAACTGCTCAAAGCCCACTGAAAAATCTTAAGACAATAAAAGGGGGTCCGTGACAAGGTGTTCACAGCTCTGACCAGGAAGAACGATGCCGTCAAGCAGATCGAGCTGTCAAAGTCAGGTCATCGTCAAATGACATGACAACAACTGGTTTGACTGGAGGTACACAGCAGCCCCTCCTTTGGGTTCCGCTGAATATTCACAGATATCATCTTTTCACAGAGAGGTAGTTGTAGCACATTGTTTTTCAAGTTCCTGTTCTTTATCCGTTCCAATTCGTTTGTTGTGTCTGACATTTGGTCGGAAAAAAATTTCAGGTTGCCCAACGACGAAGCCTGGTTTGCGCTTCCACCAGAGCTTATACACATTTTCCACGTTGATTTCTCCTGTACTTTTACACTGGAAAAGGACAGACTGTTTTGGGGATCAATAATGTACTTTGTGCTGCCGTGAATCTGCGAACCCAGGCAAAGGCTCATTAACTTCAGGCTTTCAACCAGTTCCCCTGCACTTCTGGACGACAGCTGCATTGAGTTTCCGGACCCAGCGCATCTCCGGGTGGAACCCGAAGTGTTGTTGGTGCTACCGCTGGAGCCACCGGAGGGACTCCCCCCACCTTTGTTGCTGTCACTTGGGCTTGTTTTGTCTACCCCTCCGTTTCCATTGCTTGGTTTGCTTTGTCCACCACCATCTCCCTGGCTGCCAGGTGGCCCTTCGCTACTATCCCGCCTGTGCCAGGAGTAAGTAAACCCGCTGTCTTTGTCGAGGCGTCTCCTACTTTCTGAGTCGTCATCGCTCGTTTCTGAGCTGCTGCAACTGGAGCCCCGTCCCTGGCTTTTCCTGCGGTGATAGCGTTTGTGCACGGTGCTGGGTGAGGCAATGTTCATTTTTAACCTGCTCAGCTTTGGCGGTAAGTTCTCGTCCATGTCAAACTCGTCATCGGACTCGCCCTCCTCGAAGATCTGATTGAGGACTGGTGCGCTCTTCCTTGAAGTGAGACGGTTTGTAACTGAAGGCTTACGACGCAGAACAACTTGAGTAGAAAGAGAAATAGGTTTTTTATCTTCCTCGTCCTCCTCTTCGTCTTCTTCTACTCTGAACAAGCACTTCCGGCCACTCGTGGTGGGTTTTAAGCTCACCGATGGGACAGCTGAGAGCGCCGGCCCAGCCAGCTCAGGAATATCTTCCTTTTTGGCCGAATCCCCCAGGGCCTTGCTCCTATGGCCATTGAGGACGTTCTCAGCCGTGCGAGCTGGTGACTGAGGAACAGTTGCGTGGGAGAGAGGAGATGCCGTGAGGTCATCCTCCAGATCTTGGGGGACGTCAATTTTTGTTGGCCACGACTGCCTATGTAAACAATTGTAAAAGATAAATGAGAAGTTAGATCACGGCAAGCATTTCAGAACATACAAGAAAATGTAGTATCTGCACCAGAGAAACACAAGTGCTGCCACACAAATTGGCCTGCTGAGTGGCATGTTTGTAAACAAAAGCACTGAGTGACTGAGCAAAAGAAAATGTTCTCAGAGAATGTGCATTCCTTCACAAATGCTGCTGCTTGAAAGGAACATCATCTATGCAAGAGCGTAGTTTTGAAATTATGTTGAAATTATGTCAAATGAACGTTTTAAGATTTCACTGCTCTCAGAAAATTAATAAAGCCATAAAAAACTTAAAAATAATTGTGCCTCAATAATCTGAAGTAGGTATAGAACCACCAGAACCTAGAGGAAGGTCTAAGCTGATTCAAGCACAACCTAGATAGTATTGCAAAGTACTTTTAATCTGAAGCTTCTCTTATTCTCCCCCCCAGTATTCTTAATATAAAACCTAAGTGAGAATTAACATGAGTGAGACTGAAAGGGTGAGTCAGAAGACACGTTCTCTCATTTTCAGTAAGTCTCATTCAGACCAAGCTCTATTCTACAATGTCCCCCTTAATTCTAAACACACATGAACTGAGATCACACATTTATTTGTCTTTAGCTGAGCAACTGGAATAAAACAGCTGCATGAATTCAGGACTCAAGCTGTTTAAGAATATGACACTTAAATAAACTGTGAATCCAAGTTGAAAATGTATGTCTGTACTAGTGCTAGCTCAAACCAAAATGAGTGTGAATGGGTTTTACAGTTACCAGTGGATGTCTGATCGCCATCATCTAAGTTACTATCTAATGATTTGTATTTGACTTTAAATTTAACATATATTGTAAATTTCCCATAATGTACACAGAATAAATTATGAACAAAGACCATCAGTCTTTACCCTATTTTGAAAGCCTAATTCAAAAAATCAACACCTTTAACCAAAAAATTAACACTGAAAGATTCTTCAATCGCTTCACTCAGTATAAGCCCCAGTTGCTTGTGGAGACCAAGAAATATTTTTTAACCTCTCAAAGGGTTGTCTTGAATTTTAAAAGGTTTGCCCATCATTTAACTTTACAAAACAAAAACACTCTAGCATACTGCATGAAAAGCTGTAGTAGAGACCTCTGTTCACATATGGACAGCAGATTACAGGACATTCCCAACCATATTTTGTGTATGCCAAAAGAAATGGTTGCATGACTTTGTAGCCCAGTCTAGAAGCAAGAAGGAGGAGGAAAGCAGGAGAGGAAGCAGAGAATGTTTCACACCAAGTGTGACCCCAGGTATCTGCCTGGCCAGCCAGGAGTGCTGGGAGCCACTGACCCAGTTTTCTGATGACTTGTGCTCTGCTGCTTATTTTAAACACAAAAAACTGCCTGTAATGAGCAAACAGGACTTAAATAAATTAGAAACATAACTACAAATGTGACAGGAAATGAAGCTCTAAACCTTTCAAGAATTTACCATGCTTTAAGAACAGACTGGTTTGTCAGCAAAAAAAGGAAGAGTTCTGTGGTTGTCACAATAAAGGGCAAATATAGTATCTAACAGGACTGTAGTTGCCAGGCAATAAGCCTCCTCACTACAGTATGTTTATCTCTCACAGCAGCCCATATTTACCTTCCTTCTCTTCTGCCTCTCCCCTTATTCCCAGCAGGCCTGAGGGAAGAGTGGGACAGAAGAGAAGCTCAAGGTTGCAAGTTACATTTTATTTTTTGTAAATCTTTTGAAGTCTCAAAATCAAAATAATGCACTACTTTGTTATCTTTTCCATGAGGTCATTCTACAGAAACACTTTGAATTTATGAACATCACGGAGGCAAGGAACAGCTACCTGGGATCATTAATAGCAAGGGTTCCTGAGTTTTTACATATGTCCTTGTCATGAAAAGAAAAAGTATATTCATTTATAAATTCATACAAAGATTTAAATTCACTGAACTTGTTTGTTCCAGTTTCTTATATAACTCGAGTTGCTCTTCTACTGAAAGAATGACACTGACACTGAAAAAAAAAAACCCAAACAATTTAAAATCACACTTTGCAGTTTTAGCATTTCCATTTGAAGGGAAACTCCAGGTTTTCCTCTAAAATAAGTTGTTTTATAAGTAATACTTAGTATTAGACACATTTGATTGGATTTCTTTTTGCAAATACAAAAATAAAAGGATGATCCATCATAAGAGAACTGCCAAGTTACAGTATTACCCTTGAAGAGAGATAAGCTCTGTAACACGAATCTCCAGACCATTTAGGCTCTGTAGGCAACCCTTAGATGCCTGCAACAATAACTCTTCTAAAGTACTTGTAACCACGTAAGATAAAATTTCCTACATAAGTGACCACTGAGTGAATGACCCTCCAGGGTGTCTCCATCTCCCACCTGGAGATGACAAAGATACTGCAAACCACTGCAGCGTTTATAGAACAACATCTCATAATTCAGGTAGACAGAACAGTATTCAGAAGAGATGCCTCTAAAATCTCAGCCTAAATCCAAGGTAACAAACAATGGAGACTTTAATCTATTTTCAAAAATATGTGTTCTTAATTTATAGGAAGTGTCCATTTTTTCTAGATTTAACTTGAGGTAGCAGTACCTCACTGTTATCAGTTAGACCAAGGAAAATATGACTGTGCACCTGACGGACCCACAGTAGCATTTATGTCCCTATGATAATCCCTATTAAGTGATTTCACGTATGACTGCATGGAAGTTGCACAAGGAAACCTTTGGAATGAACAGTTATTTTGTCTCTCTAAATCCTACAGACAGATTAACAACTGTGAAGGTGTTACAAGAGTTAGCAACTCTAAACATCTGCACAATCACATAATACTCTTCTCATTAAGAGATTAGCTAATAACAGTTACCAACAATACTTTACCAAAACCTAAAGGCAACTTTGAAACCACTGGAGTTTACAGGACAAAAGTTAATGGAAATGCCTCAGTACATCCTCCATCTTCACTGGAACGATTATCAAGATGAATAATGAATATTTTTTCCAATACCAGCAAATTCCAAACACTTAACTCAGGAATTAAACAAAACACAATGTTTAAGTAAAATAACTCCTCAAAACTTGCATCCTCCAATATCAGTGTGCAAGTGGAAATTATATTATTTGCCTTGTATTTGGTTTTGGGGGTTTTTTTGCATGTTTGGTTGGGGTTTTTTTATAGCATATGCTGCTGTAACTGAAAATATGGGATGCTCTGATAACCGGCGGCAGAGCAAATGGACTGGCTGAACATATCAATACCAACTACATGCCAGAAGCCTTTTAGTTTTACTGTGTCACAGGTTGAAGCTTTGAAAATCTTAGGGACCCTCACTATAACGTTTCTTAGATCACATTTTTGTCAAACAAAAAAAAAATAATCTATTGCCATGTCTTTAAATGACTGATTAAAGCACTAAATTCAAGCTTTGCTTAGACAACAGGCATATCAACTGACACGAAAAAGAACATAACCTACAGATCAAATTTAGAGTGGTTTCTCATTTATAACACATTCTCATCAGCATGTTTATGGATTATGCAACAAGTTTTGCTCCAGGGATATTACATAACACAATTTGTATGAGGAACTGAAGGTCAATGAACAAGCCCTTTTTTAGCAGATGTGAAAACTTCTTCAGGTACAGACTTCAAATTGATTAGTCATTTCCTGACAATGGTAGCAATTGAAAATATTATTGGCAATTGATTTCTGAACAGCTTCTGAAGCGTCCACAGCACTTTAAAGACATTTAAAATTCGCAATGAGTATTTTACTGTTTTTAAGAAAGCAGTACTTGAGCAATTCAATAATATTCTCATTAAGCCAAATTAAAAAAAAAAAAGCCATTTGGATTCTAAATTCTCACCTGAACTGAGCTTTGATGTTGCTGGGGCTTGCAGATCTGGTCTGAATTTCCTTCTCTTGTTTTTCTCGGAGGATCCTTTCAGCTAGTAAGAAGTAAGTAGCAGTGATGTGATTGTATTTGTTAGTTTCCAATGCCCTGAGGAGAGTACAGAACATGAAATAAACCATACATCAATGATTTCTAAGAACTGGATGTGCATCTCACAGTTTGCTGTACTTCCCATAGCAGGAAGAGCAGAACTGCCTATTTTTTGATGTTTTGATAAGCATGTTTCAAGTTTTATTAAAAATAAAGAGCCAACAAATCTAGTAATTTCAACTATAGTTGGATGAGGACATCCTTAGAGTATCATCCAAAAAAACTAAGGAATTCTTTTTTATTTTACATTCTTTAAATTATAAAGTGTTTTTCTTTAATGTTATGCACCAATGATGGGCCTCCCCACTGGCACACACAATCACAAAGCCCTAATATTTGATTATGCAACAAATGGAGGAAAAAACCTTCATTACTTTAGGGCTGCACATTGAGTTTACAGTAAAATTAAGTTTATAAGCCAGTAAGCATCAGTCAGACATTCTAACAGAAAGGATGCCACTAATGTACAGCTAAAGTTTAAGAAGTGAGACTGCTGCATCCCAACCCTCATCAGTGGTAATATACTAACAGTTTTTTCCAGCTTAAACACATACAATTAAAAAAAATAATCGAGACCTCTTTCAATTTTGGGAATATTTTAGAAATTTGGCAGTTTCAATCTGTTAGAAGAAACTATATAGCTTTCAAGCAAGTTCACTCAGTTACAATGACTTATGCATTACAAAAGGAATAATATTTTAAATTAACGAATATTCAGGTACACAGGAAACATGCTAAGGGAAAAATACTAGAATTTATCCCTTCCCAATATGCATGAGAAACAAAGCACCAGTAAAAGCATGGATTTCAAAGCAGTTAAGTTTACTCAAGATAACAAACTATTGCAGGAATCAAACACTGTTACAACACATCTTCTTGAAGTTTTTCCCAAGTTTGGGTATTTCTGATCCCACAATATCCTGTCACAGAGCAAGACTGTAACACTTTGTCTGTTACCTGAATGGCCTGATATTTAATCACCAAAGTGCCCAGGTTCTCAAGACATTATTTAACCAAAAAGGAGAGATGCACAAAACAAACTGCATACAGGGAATCGTCAACTTACTCCACTATCGTGTCTCGGTCTGCGATATCACCAAGAACCATGCGCTGTATTATACTGTTGTGCTCCTCCTCAGACAGATTTTTGTACGATACAAGAGGAATATTGTACTTTGTTGCAGGAGATGGATCAACTCCTCGGAGCCACGCATGGTTTTCAATCTCTTCCAAGGATGCCCTTCGTTTCGGGTCTCTCTGCAACATCCGTGTAATTAGACTGTGAATAAAAAATAAATCTAAACAAAACTGCACTCGCATTTTTAAAAAAAGCACCTGTTGTATGAGCAATGTTAGGAAGACATTGTTTGAGGTCAGTTTTCATAGATCTTTACAAGTCTCTACAGTAAACAATGTGATGGGAAATTATTTAGTATCAAAGACACTCCAAATATTGCTGAAATGAAACAAACAATTTAACTATTAAATACTATAAATATCATAAACATTGCGGTTTTCATTTACTGTGTTTAGATTCTTAATCTGATTTTTCTGGTTTGTTTAACAGGTCTTATAGGGCAACTGTCACAGATGGTCTATTGGCTAGTCAGTAAAGTGACAGAAATGTAATTTTTTATTATTGCTGCTGTCAACAAGAATATGGAATGGCAAGATACGCAGAAACTTTTTATTCTGAAGTAGATATTGGAGTCTTCAGTGTCCTTGAAAAAAACTCTGATCTGTTCTACCCACAGAGAAAAAAACCCAAACAAACCGATACACTCTTCTGGATGATGTAGTGACAAACCTGCTAATGGGTTGATACTGAGTTTTCACAAATGCTGGAAAGGAAGTGCATAAACTCCCCAGGTAAACAGAGGAAGAAGACTTGATTGGCACAGCACATCTCTCTTCACTTACTATATGTGAAAAATTCTTAGGGAGGGTATGTTTGGCTTTGTTCAACAAATATGGATATACAGTTTTGATGCCAAGGTTTCAATGAAACTTTATTGTTCCAGCATGTTTTCCAGTTCTCACACAGAGCTTTTTATTGCACTGACTATACTATACTACACAACTTCAAACTGCAAGGCCACACAACTCACAAAGGCTATCACAATGAGGTTTTTTTGTTGTTTTTTTGTTTGGTTGGTTAGTTGTTTGGGGTTTTTTTGGTGTGTGAGATGATGTATGGACTCATGGAGGTTAATTCAACCTTCTACAGTAAATAAAGAACACAACATTTATTCTTAGTAGCCGTGGTCTCTGCCTTTTGGTAAAGGTGGGATGAGACAGGAGACCCTTGAGTTTCTTTGCTTTTGTTAATATTATCACAGAAAAAGAACGAACTATATACTTAATCTGACTTTTTTACTAAACTATATCTGTAGTAAAACTGCACAAATGTACCACATGTGCCTCCTGCTTTAAGCTTATTTATGCATCTCGAACCACAAATGCTTTCACTCTAAGCAGGATGTTTAAACATTCCCAGAGTTTCTTCCCTGAGACAACGTAACCTACAGAGGATCTGGGTAACTGATTGTATATCCTCAATGCACCATACAGATAAAGCAGATCTACTTGGACATTTAAGCAAATTAGCCAATATATTCAGCAGAGGTCTGCAAAAGGTAAGTTTCCTGGCCTCAGCACAGCATGCGGCATCGCAAGAGATTTATTCGATACAGTTCACTGATAAGAGCTCTCTCTTAACCTCTTCCTGTATTGTACTTTAAACCTCTTCCTGTATGTTGAGCTCTTCAAGCTGACAGCAGCTTTTCTGTGTTACTGGAGGTGCTAGACACTAATGACATGACAAGAAAACCAGCTATGGCATAGAATTACAGAATTATTAGGGTTAGAAAAGACTTCTAAGAGCACTAGGTCCAACCACTAACCTAGCACCACCATGCCCATCACTAAAGTGCGTCTCGAAGTGCCACATCTACATGGCTTTTGAACACCTCTAGAGATGGTGATTCCATCACTTCCCTGGGCAGCCTGTTCCAGTGCTTGACAAGAAGTTTCTCCTAATATCCAGTCTAAACCTTGAAGTCATTTGCTCAACCTACCACTTGTTATCTGGGAGAAGAGGCAGCCTCCTTTCAGGCAGTTGTAGAGAGTGGTATGGTCACCCCTGAGCCTCCTTTTCTCCAGGCTAAACAACCCTCAGTTGCTCCTCATAAGAGGAGCTTGTGCTCCAGACCCTTCACCCGCTTTGTTGCCTTTCTCTGGACTTGCTCCAGCTCCTCAGTGTCTTTCTCAAGGGCCCAGAACGGAGCAAGCACTCAGGGGGAGTCCTCACCAGTGCTGAGTACAGAGGGACAATCACTGCCCCGGTCCTGCTGGCCACACTAGTGCTGATACAGGCCGGGAAGCTGCTGATCATGTTATGCATTAGATCCCTGGACCACACAGATGACAAGTGAAGAGAGGAATGGTCATTATGACCACAGCAATAACAGATTTCATTCTTTGTTAAGTAACAGAATTCGAGATGCCACTCTAGTTTTTTGACTGGACCAAATTAATTTTTCAAGCACTTATAAAGGCATCTGGGCCTTCATACTGAAACTGAAAAGATACTCTACCATAGATTAAAGAACCCAGACAAACCATGTAAAAGTGATGCAACTGGGATATATATTAAAAGGACTGAAGAGGTCATTAACCAGTTGGGAAATACAGAAAATACTGGAACATAGGAAAAAAAAAATAAAAAAGCTCCAATGAACAGTGCAGAAAAACAATACATCAAAAAGAACCATGACTCCCAAGTGGCATACAGTATTTGCAGACGGAATATTTTTCTCCCTGGATTGCCTAGAATGTTGTTTTGGAGTTGCAATTTCAGTAGGAAATGAGCAAAACTTGCTTTGTAATATTCATGGGGTTTGACAACTTATTTTTTGGACAGAAATTGGTAGGAAGTAGTACCTTCCCTAAGCCCTGCCACAAAATACTGTCAATATCTGGTAATTTGTCCAGCAACAGAGTTGGCCAAAGCCAATCAGCAGCAAGTAGCTTCTTCCATCCTTCATAAGAATGCATTACAACTGAGAGACACAGAAGAAGAGTATCAGGGAGTATTCCACACACTGATAATATGGAATGGGGAACTCCCAAAGGTAGTGAAAATCCACTTCTATGGATGCTTCCAAGTTCTTCAGTACTCTACTTACTCTTTACAGTCTTTGGACACATGAGGTGGCACTGTGTATTTGCAGTCCATTATCATAGTCAGAGTTTCACTGTCGTTTGCTTCTTGAAATGGTGGCTGTCCACAGACCAACATGAAGAGGATGACCCCCAAACTCCATATATCTGTAAATATACAGTACAGACTTTAAAAACAACTGTTGAGGATACAATTATCATCAAAGCCATGAAATATTCTTGAAATGCATACTGGGCTGATTACTACACTCTTGATTATGACCATGACTTATGGAAATTGCAATTCCACTCAAGTACAAAATACTGTACTTCCATTGTTTGACAGCTTTTATAGTTTTTGAGGGGGAAAAAATATCAGAATTCATGACTTCAAAGATGCAAAACAGTTTGAGGTGCATTAACACCTTTGACAGCAGTGTTAGATAAAGCTGAAAATAATCTGGTCACTGAGAAGGCAAGAATTCATTACCCTTTCGTAACAGGTAGGCACAGGTTATTAAACTGGTTTGTATTCAGAGCACATTCCGTTGTGAAGGACTGGCACAAACTTTTCTCTGTATTGTTTACATGTTACTCTGCGATGGAAGAAATTACAAAGAAAGTAACTTGTTTTCCCTTCAGTGGTGGTATGTTGCGTTAAAATGTGTTCCTTCCAATGGTAAGTAAGAAATTAGATTATGTAAAACCAGCTTCTTCTACCAATGATATTACAAAGTGTGGGGTAGTGGGTTTGGGTGTTGCTTTTGGGGTTTTTTTAAATATCCAAATATAACAATTAACAGTGATTTCTACTATACTCTGGGAGTCTTCTTGTTTCCTTCTAATTCCTGCTCATGTAAAATAAACACTTAACAACTTTCTCGTTCTCCAGTGAAATGACATACCAAAAGATGAAAAAGAAGCACTTCAGGGCATGAAATCGTGTAGTTTGGTTTCTCCTTGGTGCAAAAGCTAATATTTAGTTCGAATCTTTATTAAGAGTCTGCCTAAAAGAAAACATTTCATGAGTTCTCATTGCATTCATTACAGGCAGTGTAAGTATTGAGAAATGTATCACACTGCAGAAAAATAAATAACTCGCTTCAGTATGTGCTTAGAAAACAAGGCCATGTTCAAAACTCAGCTACAACTCCATGCTCTGGCAATTTCAGTGGCAATTTTGAGTCTTACACCCTTAGCATTGCACAGATCTGTATCCAGTAGAACCAAGCAGGCAGCTGAGGGTGAGAAATGATCAGGCAGGCATCTCCTGAGGAAAGAGGGGAGAGCACCTAGCAGTGGCCTAGGAAGCAGAGCACACCCGCTCTTTCCTGGCAAGGCCTGCAAGAGGGAACCACACCAAATTACTTACTCAACTGCATCTTGCTTTCTGTGTCCCATTCAAAATACTCGACATGCATGTAATGCTGAAGGATGGCTACAATTTTATTCAATAACCTAAATCACGCAAGATTCATCCCTAGAACAATTACTCATTTTGCTAGTTACAACCCATTCTTCATATGGTTTAGCTGACAGAGGAACAGAAACACTACATGGCAATTTTCTTTAGAGCTCTAATTTGTAGTAAGTGTATGCTATTAACTCGGACAATTACTGGATTTCTGTTATGGTCCTAGGGCCTCAATCTTGTAGGTACTGAGCATTTTGAGGCTGGTACATCATATCAGGTATACCTGCAAATTCAGGGTGACTATCCTCATGTTTAGAGATTCAGTAAGTGCTTTAATACTTTGGTAGCCTGGTGCCATGAAGCTGATGTTCTGGAATACAGGATTTTAAAAACCCTCATAAGACAGAGAGGCAGTTTCACCTAAGAGGTCCACCTTTAATTTTGTAAAGCTACTTATATCTTTCTCCTGCTGTTTAGTTTCAAAGCAGCCAAAAAGTTTCGGTGCATTATCTATCTCCCAGCATAGAACTAATTTTAAGAAGTTCTTGCAAGTGCAAAAGACATGTGAATTTATACATTTTATAGGTAATCATCTTTTGATATCAATGTCCTTCCTAGATGTTTAAATGTGTCTATTTTGTGACATGATCTATTCTAGTATTTTGTTCAATACTCCCCCCACAACAAAATGCTTCGTGTCTCCTTTTAGCATTAAGTATTTTAGAAGAGTCCACATAGTTTTCATTAGTACAGACAAATTATATTTGCTATAATAAAACAATAAATATTGGCTAAATTTAAACCAAGAGAAAAATATTGGGAAGGGGAGAAAAATTAAACCATAAATGAAAAATAAGCATACCAAAAAAGTTTAAACAGAAGGAAAAAGACAATATTGTAAGAAATCAAGCTTAAAAACAATAATACAATCCTGAGGAAAGGACAGCAATCAAAGTAAGACAACAATTAAAGTTCCATAAACTCATCATAGATAGGGAAACTCTACTAGACCTTGAAATTTCAACTGCATTGAGCAGATACTGAACATCCTTAAGTATTTTCTGTTACAAGGCAGTATCCTAATCTATTTTCTATTTTACACACATGGCTTCTTCTATAGGCTATACATACTTCGCTGTATTTCAATTTGAAAGGATATGTGATGACAGGTACAGTTTTAGTTTTCCAAAAGTTATTTAGGTAAATATGCATGTACATTTACTTTATAAAAATAAACACTTTTTAGAAGCAAAATCCAACTGATTCTCTAAATGAAAAAAACCCACGAATTACTATTCTTTGCTATAATGCATTGTCCAGCTAGACATCAACCTGTATGTTTTGACAAATAAAACAGTAACTATTGATTAGGTGGCACATAACAGAGAATTTTGTAAATTTTTTTTCCCACTATTTACTATACATTGTACTTTGTACCCATGTGTTTTTCCAGGTAAGAAGAGATCCAAATGGTCAAATGAAATATTTTTTTGTGATATAACTGCATGAAAAAATAGAAAACAAACTCTTGCTAATAAATAAAATATCAATCACGCATTGAACTGCTACTAGATTTCATTATATCATGCATTTTGTTTAATGCACAAAATATACACTAAAAGGGAAACATGTATGCAGAAAAATTTTTGTTAGAAACTAAAAATAGTGCTTTAGACCTTCCGACCTCATCTTATTATCTAGATACTCTTATGCTCTCAGTGAAGAGCAACTACATTTTACCTCACTCTTACACACTACAGGCAAAATTATTATTTTCTTATTATCCTTTCCTGAAAAATGTGTATTTTGTTACCCTGGCAGCATTGCAGACACTTATTCTGATGTGACCAGGAAATAACAGTGGACAGCAACAATTACATGGCTTTTATTCTCATCCTATTTTTATAGCTGTGGCTGAAGATCAACTTCATTGCACCTACAGTCAAGGCAACTAAAATGACTCAGCTTGGAGTGTCACGGACAGAGCCGAGCAGCCTAAGCAAACTGAAGAGTATGCTAATAACCAGGAAGCAAGAAAATAATGTGCCTAAAAAATAAAAATAATGTGCCTGGTCTACATGTGAAGATTGAAAAATCACTGGGACACTTAGTGCAGAGCTTATAATGTCAATAATAACAGATGTCACCTCAGCAACATCATCACAAGCCCTCCAATGCTGTATTATAGCAAGCCCCTCCTCATTTATGGAAGAAGAGCCAAGCACTTGGATTTCTGCAGGTGTACTAAGGGAACACATTCAAGAGTTCTGTCCTGCCCTCTCCAACTGAGGGGCTGCTCTCTTATCCCTTTTCTATGCCACAGTTTAACTAAACCAAATCCAACTCCTCATGCAACTCAAGACAACCAAGCAGGTGACAGACACAACATCTGTAACAAGGCTCTTTCTGGTCAACTGCAACTTGCCACCTTGTTAAAAGGTACAGACGCAACAGAAGATGTACATGTTGCTACAGGTGCTTGCAGAAGTTTTTGATAATCTTTGAAAAAGTTGTGTGACCATCAAGCTCAGTCCTATGTTTTGCCATCCAGCATTTCAGGCAACAACCTATGGGTGTTCGTTTAAAAAACAAAACAAAACAAACACTTAATGAATCACCATAATCGTGAATTGCAACAATCAGGAGGGTGTTCCCAGCAGGTCAAGGCAGGTGACTCTTCACCTCTGCCGAGCACTGGTGAAGCCACACCTGCAGTGTTGGGTCCAGTTCTGGGCTCCTCAGTGCAAAAGAGAGACAGGCTTACTGGAGGGAGCACAACGAAGGGCCATGAAGGTGATGACTGGAACATCTCTCCTGTAAGTAAATGCTGGGAGAGCTGAGAATGTTCAGCCCCAAGAAGCGAAGACTGAGGGGGAGCTTCTCAATGTACATAAGCAGATGAAGAGAGGGTGCCCAGTGGCAGGAGCAGAGGTGATGGGCACAAACTGCAACACAGTAGGCTCCCTCTGAACATCAGGAAACGCTTTTTCACCACGATCAGGGTGACCAAGCAGTGGCACAGGCTGCCCAAAGAGGCTGTGGAGTCTTCAGCCTTGGAGATATTCAAAAGTCACCTGGACACTGTGTGGGGAACTGTCTCTAAGTGCTCCTGCTTGCCCCGAGGATTACACCAAATGACCTTCAGAGGTGCCCCACCAGAGGAGGCAGCACCAACAGGAAAATTATGCTCCCTTTTGCCCAAGAGAAGCAGTACATCCCAGGTGTCCATTTGAGAAACTGAAAGCATGACAGCCCAGTGAGAACTAAAATAATGCTGACAGCATGAACACACAAAACTTTAATGTTCCATGTAAACCAGCACAGGGCTGTTTCAAGTCTGCTATAAAACAATTATTTTTCACTCCTAACACCAAACGCGGAGTAAAGAATAGCAAGCATAAATGAAGCAGTAAAAAAACTGAGAAAAATTGTCTCCTATTTTATGTAACTTATTTTGAAATACACAAATCCTGCAAAAACAATGGAAAAATGGAACTGGTATATAACAAGTGGGTTAGTCACTGATATTTTAAATTACCACAATTATTCAGACAACAGCTGTGTGCATTCCTAAACAAAATACAAACAGTAACAACAGTATCTTGCCCTTCCCAACCTACCACAAAATTTCATATTGGCACTTCTTACAAAACACAATGCTGGATTAAATTAAAAAAAATTAAAAAAAAAAATTTAAAAAAAGGGTTTTCTTCCTGGCAGATCTTAGTTTCCAGGACAACAGAAATCCCTGCCC